GGGAGTTGAAGCCCACAAGTCTTAAAGCAGCCAAGTTTGAAGACCTCTGCTTTAATTGATCTGGTTCAAATGTTTTGTTTTTTTTACTGGTTGCTGCTTTAAGTTGTAACCTTCTTTCAAGGTTGATTTCTCTTTGATCTCTTATTGCGATAGCTGTTGTCAGATGCCTCTCTCTAAGCCAGTTTTGGCTTAGAGTTATTGTTATTGTGTCTGGATTTGAAGACCAGGCTTACTCCTGAATTACTCCATGAATTCAGTTTTGGGGTCTGCAGGGATGCACTGAGTGATCGGCTAGGCTCAATTCACTTAATACATTACATTGAAATGTAACCGGCTAGTTCAGTTTATTTATGCAAACTCAGTCAAGTTTTTTTTTTTTGTACAGTATTAAAAAAAGATCGACATGCATTTAAGCCATTTATCTTTTCAACAGCCATGAGGATTCGGTTTCCAGATTCCTGAGAGAAAAAGACCTGGACCACCCAAATTTCTAATTGAGAGAATTAGCCCTAATTTTTTTTTTTTAACATCCTGTCCACTTTTAAGGGTTGACTCTTTTAATTCTAAACAAGAAGACTCGTGCAAAGATCTTCAGACAGGAAATATAAAACCTAATGTAGGTTTTGTTGTTGTTTTCCTTCGTTCCTTCCAAGGAATTTTGTCCATGTCCCCTCCCTTTACAGACTATCAAATTCCTTGCTCTGGGATCTTCCCCTCTCCCACCTCCGCCCTGACTTTAATGCTTTCCATAAGCTAAATAGATTTCTAAATAAGGATGAGGTTTTTTTTTTTTTTTTTAGCAAGGCCAATGGAAGCCTTGAACATCAATTCCTCTTCGTGTCAAGAGTGGCATGAAGCAATATAAAATCATAAAGGCTGTATAAAAACAGTAGCCTTGAGAAGCAACTATCCGTGGAAAACAGAACTGCACTTCTCCATGCTCAGGAAATGCTCAAGGTTTGTAAATTAATTCCGGGGGATGGCCCAGCTCACCTGTTCGTAGAGCAGCGACCCCCCCCCACCTAAACTTTTGGGTGCCAGGGACTGGTTCCGTGGAGAGAGGTTTTTTCGTGGCCTGGAGGGACCGTGGTTTCGCATGCTGCCTGCATCTCACGGATGGGGCATCACTTGTTTGCACAGCCAGGTGTCTGGCATGCCATGGCCAGTGGTGGGTTGCCCCTGGTTCGCAAGAACTGGTAGTAAAACCAGCGGGAGGCCCCGCCCAGAGCCCCGGATATCATCGGTGATCTGCGCATGTGCAGAAGCGATCCCATTGCGAACCGGTAGTAAAAGTAAGTAGAACCCACCCCTGGCTATAGCTCAGTGCCAGTCCATGGACTGGGAGCTGGGGACCAGGGGTGAAATGCTACCGGTTTGCACCAGTTCGCATGAACTGGTAGTAATAAATGCTACCAGTTCGTCCAAAGCAGTATTTCCGACGATCAGCTGTGCCGTGTGATTTATATTCGCTAGAAAGCAGGAAATCCTGTTTTCTAGCGAATTTAAATCACGCGGCACAGCTGTCCCCACCCCTTCGCTGTTCTACTTACTTTAAGCCTCCTTTTTCTGCGTGAAGTGTGAGTTTGGTGCGTAGTGTGCATGCGAATGCAGCATGCATTTGGCGTGCACTGTGCATGCATCTGATGCGCACTGTGCTTGCACGCACGCACTGCGCATTTGGCATGCACCGCACATGCTCGTGCAGTGAACCGGTGGCAAAAGCTCAGAGGATTTCACCACTGCTGGGGACACCTGTCGTAGAGGACCTGACACCTTACCTGGTGGGATGAGTTTCTAATTCTGCCTAGAAAAAGGCAATGGAGACGGGTTACACAAAGGACACAGGTTTAAAAGCACAGATGTGCTTTCCAGGACTTTCAGGCAAGACCACGTTCAAAGGCAGCTGATCTCTGACTCTCAATTGCAATCGCTGGGAGAAGCTGCTACCTTGATCTTGGAGTATCTGATGCAAGCAACTAGTTGATCCGTAGGAAAGTAGATTCAGTCCGCCTGTAGCCGGACCTGCATGGCTGCGGTTGCAGTCCTGCATCAGCCTGTTCTCACTACAGATTAGCCAACTGTAATTGGGCTTCGCTCTTGCAAACCACTTAGGGAGAACGGTTTTTTTTTAAAAAAAACAACTGATTTAAGTTGGTGCAAGTAAAGTACCGTGTAACCGTATGATTGAAACTCCCTCTGTGGTTTAGTTCTTCATCTGGGCTACACAAGTTCACAGCAGGCAGCTGCACTGGCTCAAAGCAAGGGAAGCCCTTTAATGCACAGATTGAAATTGGATAGGATAGGATAGGGTAGAAAATAGAATAGAATTTAGAATAGAATTAGTAGAATAGCATAGAGTAGGGTGAGGTGGAGTAGGATAGAACAGAATAGAGTAGGGTAGGGTAGAATAGAGTAGAGTAGAATAGAATTAGTAGAATAGAATAGAATAGAATAGAATAGGGTAAAGTAGGGTAGGATAGAATAGAATTAGTAGAATAGAATAGAATAGAATAGAATAGAGTAGAGTAGAGTAGAGTAGGGTAGGGTAGAATAGAATAGGAGTTGAGTAGAGTACGGTAGAGTAGAGTAGGGTAGGGTAGGGTAGAATAGAATAGAATAGGGTAAGGTAGGGTAGGGTAGGATAGGATAGGATAGAATAGAGTAGGGTAAAGTAGAATAAAATAGAATTAGTAGGATAGGATAGGATAGGGCAGGGCAGGGCAGGGCAGGGCAGAACAGAACAGAACAGAACAGAACAGAACAGAACAGGGTAAGGTGTGGTAGGGTAGAATAGAGTAGGGTAGAGTAGAATAGAATAGAATAGAATAGAATAGGGTAGGGTAGGTTAGGGTAGAATAGAATAGAGTAGAGTAGAATAGAATAGAACAGAATAGAATAGAATAGAATAGGAGTTCTTTATTGGCCAAGTAAGATTGGACAAGGAATTTGCCTCTGGTGCATAAGCTCTCAGTGTACATACAAAACAAGAAAGTAACAATAATCAACCCAGGATAATAATTATAATAGTATTTAATTATTTAAAGGTAGGCCTTGACTTACAAGCATTGTTTAGCAACTGTTCAAAGTTACAAACGGCAGTGAAAAAAAAAGTGATTTTTGTGACCAGTTCTTGCACATGGCTGTTGCAGCACTCTTATGGTCATGTGATTAGAAGGTGTGTGCTTGGCCAACTGAGGGTTTGCAGTTAACATGTTTGAGCCCCGTCTGCTTTCTAAACCATGTTTTTCAGTTTAGCAATCTGGGTGACTCAAGCTAACCGTGGTTAGTCCAATGTAAGGTGAGCAGATCTAGATTGCAAAAAAGAGTGTATTTTCTGCATTATTTCTGCTACCATCCATCCATCCGGCAGTTCTCCAGAGTTTTGCAACCCAGGCCTGACAGCCCCAAAGCGGCTGAACCATCATGCTTAATAAACATCTGAACGCAGCTCTACTAAGCACTTAGCAATCTTCTGCAGTCTTTGGAAACGAAAGCCTTGCTTGTTGGATGCTGCTGTAGTATGGCTGAAAAAAATAAAGTCACTGGCATATTTGCCCATAGCAAACCATGGCCCATGGTAGGCTCATGTTTTTTAGCTTTGTTGTGTGAACGCAGCCACTCCGGTCAAGTTTTTCAAACTATGGAGGTGCGGTGAGACAGTTTCTGCTTTGAGCTGGCCAAGCAAAAAGGACCGAATGGGGCAAGAGAAGGATGCCCTAGGTAGGAAGCCCCCTGCCCCCCTATAAGAATATAATATTTTGGAAATATTAAACTGGCACATTCTTACTTAATTTTTTTAAAAATTTGATTTATACGCCGCCCTTCTCCGGAGACTCAGGGCGTCTTACAATGTGTTAAGCAATAGCCTTCATACTTTTGTATATTTTATACAAAGTCAGCTTATTGCCCCCACAAACTGGGTCCTCATTTAACCTACCTTAGAAAGGATGGAAGGCTGAGCCAACCTTGAGCCTGGTGAGATTCGAACTTACAGTAATTGCCGACAGCTGGTCTTAATCACAATGCTTTTAGTCTGCTGAGCTACCAGGCTCACTTGCCATTTCAGGCTGCATCTATCCAATTTCTCTTTACAGACCCTCCCCCCCCTAAGTCTCAATAACCTTCCCATAAGTTTCCTCGCCTCACCGAGCGAGGGTCCCCACCGGCTTCTCTTCAGCTCTTTCCCCCTCCCCCACATCCGCGGGCGACCCTCCAAGCTTTTTTCCCCTCCAAGCGGGCTAGTTACGTTTCCAAGGCTGCCCTCTCCCCACGCACAAAAGGGCTCCCACGCCTGGAGTACACGTGTAGACTCATTGCAGACGTGCCTGTATGTGTGTGTTTGTGTGTTGTGTGTGGGGCAGTACCCTCTCCCCCACGCACAAAAGGGCTCCCACGCCCAGAGACACGTGTAGACTCATTGCAGACGTGCCTGTGTTTGTGTGTGGGGCATTACCCTCTCCCCCACCCACAAAAGGGCTCCCAGAGACACGTGTAGACTGATTGCAGACGTGCCTGTATATATGCGTTTGTGTGTTGTGTGTGGGGCATTACCCTCCCAGCCTCATCAAACTTCCCCGCCGCTTCTCTTTCTTTTTTTTTAATATAAAGTTGCCCATCTGGCCGCTGGATCCCCAACCGGGCGCCCGCAGCAAAGGAAAGCAAGCAAACTCGGCAAGGCAAAGAGACGCCTCCAAAGAAGCCCCTCCGCTCGGGCTGGGACCCCCTTTAGCAAGCGCTCCGGGTGGGCGGAGCCAAGGAGGACCCCTCCCACTCACTAGCCCGGAGTTGGGGAGGAGGGGGTGTTTAACTGGGGGTGGGGGGGGGGGGGGAGGGGAGGGGGGGGGGGGGGGGGGCGGCGCGGGGGGGGGCAGGGCGGCGGGTCCCCTGGGGCGCCCCCCGGGGGGAAAAGGGGGGGGGGCGGGGGCGGGGCCGGGGCCAGGGTCCGTCCTTCCCACCCCCCAACCCACGCCCCCCCCAGAGCTCCCCCCACCCCCCCTCCTTGCATCGCTCGCCGGCTGCTTTTCGCCTCTTTTCCTCGAGGAAGCGCAAACAGTTTGGAGGAAAAAGTGGAGCCGGCCGGGTTGGATGCGGCTGCCGACGCCGACGCCGAGCCAGGCGGCCGGGGCGGAGGAGGAGTAGAGAGCATGGCCGTGTCTTCTCCCCCGAGCATTCCCGCAACTTCCAACCCCGGAGGAGGAGGAGGAGGAGGAGGAGGCAGCGGCAACGCCGGGGGAGCCTCCGGAGGAGCCGGCGGGGGCTGCAGCACCAGCAGCGGTGGAAACAGCAGCAGCAGCAACAGCAGCAGCGCGGGGGTCTCGGCCGGTTTGTTCCGGGCGGACCCTCTTTATTCCCCCAGCCCCTCCGAGTCTCCGCGGCTGGCCGGCGGCGGAGGGAGCAGCGCTGCTAGTAGTCTCATCCACGGCTTCATCTCCAACGCGGCGCCCGCGGGCGTCGGAGGGCTGGGGGTGGCGGTCGGCGGCGGAGGCGCAGTGGGGGTCTCCGGGGCATCGTCGGCTCCGCTGGTGGGCAACGAGTGCAAGATGGTGGACCTGCACGGGGTGAAGGTGGCCTCCTTCCTGGTGGACGGGCAGGAGCTGATCTGCCTGCCGCAGGTCTTCGACCTCTTCCTCAAGCACCTGGTCGGCGGGCTCCACACCGTCTACACCAAGCTGAAGCGGCTGGACATCGCGCCCGTGGTTTGCACCGTGGAGCAAGTGCGCATCCTGCGCGGGCTGGGCGCCATCCAGCCGGGCGTCAACCGGTGCAAGCTCATCACGCGCAAAGACTTCGAAACTTTGTACAGCGACTGCACCAACGCCAGGTGAGCGCGGGTCGGAGTGTGTGTGTGTGTGTGAGAGAGAGAGAGAGAGAAAAAGGGGGGGGGGGGGAAGGGTCTCTTTTGCAGGGAAAGAAGACCAGACCCGTCATTTGGGGAGGGGTGGGGGAAGAGGTAGAGGAGGGGAGGAAAGAAACAGTCCCTTCAGATGCCGGGAAACCTAACGGGGGGAGAAAAAAACCCTCCTAGGGGAGAGAACTCGCTTCCGAACGTGTGAATGGGGGCAGGCGAGAGGTCGCGCTTCGTTGCACGAGGTCTCTAACGGGTGTTTTGGGATTCCCCTCCGCCGTCCACAATTCCAGCGAGCGCCTCTTGCCTTTAGAAAGTAATGCACACAATATCATGAGGAAGGAAGGAAAGAGAGAGAGAGAGAGAGAGAGAGAGAGAGAGAGAGAAAGAAAGAAAGAAAGAAAAGAAAGGAGGGAGGGAGAGAGAGAGAGAAGAAAAGAGAAAGAAAGAAAAAGAAAGGGAGAGAGAGAAAAAGAAGGAAGGAAGGAAAAAGAGAAGGAAGGAAGGAAAGAGAAAGAAAGAGAAAGGAGGGAGAGAGAAGGAAGGAAGGAAATAAGAAAGGAAGGAAAAAAGGAAAGAGAAAAATAAATAAATAGAAAGAAAGAAGAGAGAGAGAGAAGGAAGGAAGGAAAGAGAAGAAAGGAAGGAAAGAGAAGAAAGGAAGGAAAGAGAAAAATAAAGAGAAAGAAGGGAGAGAGAGAAGAAGGAAGGAAGGAAAGAGAAAGAAAGAAAGAAAGAAAGAAAGAAAGAAAGAAAGAAAGAAAGAAAGAAAGAGGGAAGGTCAGGATTTGCATCTCCAACCTTTATGGTCTGTGAAGGCTTTTTTGAGGAGGGAATTTTGATGCTTGGAATAGTGGGACAAGTTGCAACCAGGGAGGGGAGAGTGGGGAATTTAAGGAGTGGGGAACTTAAGGAGTGGGGGACAGGGATGCTTTTGAACCGCCGTGCCTGTCTGGATTTGGGAGGACAGGGGTTTGTGTTCATTCAGAGGAAAAGGAGATGTAGGAAGTCCAAAGTCCCTCCCAATTGCTTTGTCCAGGATTGTGAGATCTGAACCTGTGACCCAAAACTTTGTCGCTGTGAAAATTAGGGGGCTTCGGGAGGCAGGGGGAGGGAAGTCGAGAAGGGTGAGGTGGTGCTACGGTCCAACTTTTAAGCAAATTTCTGGGGACCCGTCTCACCATAAAAGACGCCACTTTGAGATGGTGCCCTAAAGCTGGGTTGTAAAAAGAACTTTACTGAAATCGAGGAACGAGGCTGGTTTGCAAAACACAAGAGTTTGTCCACCAATTATTAAGACCCAGTGCGAACAATGTGGAGCTAAAGCCCCATGCTTTAAAAATAGGGGGCATTTGGTTTTAGGGGTGTTGCAGGACGTATTCCTTTGCAAGCAAGTGCACAGACTTTGGGATTTAAGGCCAGGTTGCACTTTATAATTTAAAATAAGTTCCACTTTTGTTTTTAAAAGATGCCTCTGGGTACTTAATTTTTGGCTTGGGGAAAAATGAGGGTCTCCTTTGGAACAAGGAAATTGTTTTTGTTAGGGTATCAAGCTGTTGAGTTCCACGGTCGCTTCAGAGTTACGAAGTTTAATCTTCTTTAAAAGATGGAGGGAAGGGTTGACTATTGAGTAGAGAAATTCTTTGGGAAAAGAGAGATTCAAGATTGCATTTAACAGCCGTATCCTAAAACATTTCTACCTAGAAACAACTTCTAGGGAGTTTGACAAGGATAATTCTTGAAGAAGCGAAAGGCTGAGGACCAGTTTCTATTTCTTTTAACCGCTTTTGCTGAAATTTTGCATAGTGTATCTGCCCTAATAGAAAAAAACTTGGTTGGGATAAAAACTTTGGTTTATAAAATCCTTTGGTTTAAGATTTTGGGAGGTTGGGATAAAAGGCTGCTGGACATCTAAGTGGTCATATCTTAATAATGGTAGATTCAAAGATCCCCAGATTTTTGCTGGGTTCACATGGGGCTCGAACCTAGCCAACAAGACAAACTGGGTTGCAATTTGAGGATCCTGCCATAAGGAAAAAGGTCCAAGCAAGGTTTATGCAGACTGCCATCTGCTCTCCCGAGTCCTTTGGCTATTAAGCCCAGAAGTGGGACCAACTTCTATTGGATGCTTAGTTCCCTAGAGGGAAGTTGTGGTTGAATGAGATTATGTAAATAGCAGGCAAAAAACGCCCGGAGCAAATTTTCTTAGAGAAAAGTGATCATATAGTAATATTGGAACTAATTTTGTTTAATGTCCTTTCTTGCAAAAACCTTTTGCAATATTCATATGAGAGATAAGCAAGTCTGTCTGCTCAGTCAAAATGCAAGCAGGAAAAAAAATGCTTTTATAAATACATAGATTAGAAAGAAGTAGGATTAATTCAAGGTTTTTTGTTTGTTTGTTAATACAAATGACACTCTGAATTTCTTTCCTAAAACACCAAAAATATGCTTGTTCTTCAGATTTTATGTATGTGAGACAGTTTCCCCAGTTCCTTTGTTGTGAAACTTTAAAACTTTGTATTTCCTTAAATTATTGTGGCTGGAATTATAATTTGCAATGCACAAAGAGGATGTCACCTGGCAGATTATTAGAAAACATTAGGAGTTGTGTAAGGTCAGAACTGAATGACCATTTGCAAACTTTTTCCTGAGTATAGTAAATTAAAGGAACGTTCTCAAAAGTATTACTTGCCCCACAGTCTCCAGAATTCAAATAGTTACAGTCAGAAAGTGGCTCCCAGTTTCTCCAAATAGTATAGTTCTTTTATCTCATCCTGTAAAACAATATGTAAAAAAATTTTCTGCATATTGTAAATGTCCAAGAACATTCAAATCGGAGGAAGTTTTCAGTAGGAAAAAGATTGGGGAAGGAAAAATCCCTAGTTCTGATCAAAATGATCCAACTATTCTCAATTTTTAAGAAACTAAGCTGCCACAAAGCTAACTTTCTTGTTAATGTGTTTTCTGAGATCTTAGAATGAATACAAAACTTGCCAACTTTTGTTTCTACTCATTGTTTATTATTAAATCGTTGTTTATTATTTAAAAGATTTTCTACTTTGTTATCTTTTCTTATTTTTTGTTTAGTTTAAAAGGAACACACTGAGCCCTTCGATTGACCTCTCAGATTGGGAAATCTGAAGTTTCCCCCCTCAGGTTGAAGTTTCTTGGGGTGTACATGTTCCCCCTTAGAACTTGCTTGCCTGTATAAAAGCCTGATTTTATTTTGCACGCAGTGGGATGCTTTGCATTCTCACTATGCCCTGATTTTAGAGGTCTAGAAACGGCCAAATATTTTGTTCTACACATTTCTAAAATTCTGAAAAAACGTATTTCTCTCTGCTCAACATGTGGCAATCAAAAGACTAGATTGTCCTCTGATTGTCACATGTTGAGTAGAGTATAGGTAAAGTTTTTAGCCTGACGATGTCCCAAAGATGCTTTTCGGACTTTCTTGGTTTTTCTTTTGTTTTGCTTCTCATCTAAGAAGCTCCTTCAGAACTGAAGAAGCTTCTTGGATGAGAAGGGAGACCTTTTCAAAGGAAAACAAAACCAAGGAAGTCCAGTTGCCTTTTGGAAAAGCATCTTTGGGGACAGTCATGATCTGAAGGATTGAGACTGTCCACAGAGTTACTTTCACTTTTGGATGTCTTGTGTGCAATGTTGACTTCTCTCCTTTGGTGTCACTCGCTTTTCCTGTGCGTTTAGACTCCTTGCAGTAGAAATTATTTCTACTTTTAAGGTCGCTCGCACGTAAGCGTTGCTTGGTATTCAAATAAGACGGGAACAGATGGCTAAGGCGTTTCCTTCATTTCAGAGAAGGGCATCATGCCTTTAGCTTGTGCCTTCTCTGTGAAGTTGCTGTCTTTAAACCATGTCAAGTCAAAATGATGTGGGCGGGTTGGATATATAATAAGCCCTTCGCCTTCCGTCTCCTCATTTAAGACAAATTGAAACAGAGGTGGCTACTTCCTAAAAAGCCACTTGTAACTGGAGAGGCAGGAGTTGTATTAGTTCAGTCGACAATGAAATCAAATAAAAATCAAATCTTGATGCCTAAGATTTTGGGGCATCTTTTAAAAGGAGTTTGCTAGATCCGGAGGCAAAAGAACAAATTGGGTATTTATTTCTTCAGACCCAATGAAACTTTGCAGAAGTCTTAAAGTAAAGTCTTGGCTGGTATTTTGAGTGCAGAAAGTACGACTAACGGGATGCCTTTAGTAAAATATTACGGCATTGTTGTGTGCAGAGAGGCTCACGGCTTTCCAGAAGCTTTATAAAACCCAGCCAGGAGATGGTATGAAATTTTAATTGGGGAGCAACTGCTTGGCAATCTCCAGCTTGATAGAAATCATAAGCAGATTTTTTAAAAAACAGAAGTAGGTGTCTAATTAAAAACATAAAGCTTTAAAAGAAGCAAGTAAGGGAAAGTATGGTTTGACTGTTCCTTATTTTTGTCATCCTGTATGCATTTCCTTGGAAATTAATCCCATTAACATAAGTGAGACTTACTTCTAAATATGCAGTTTAATAAGTGTCGCACTTCTTATCCATCTGATCCTACGATTGAATTCTGAGTCTTCCTTTTTTTCCCCCCCCCCTTGGAAAGAAAAAAGATCCCGTTACTTTGACTTCATGCTTTGGTGATGAAGGACGTGGAATGACCTTCTCTTTGGGAAATGACAAACAGCTGTCCTTTGATTGCAATAATAATAATAATAATAATAAAAAAGCCGTGTGATATTTATCTTTGGGGTTCCCATAACCGACAGCTGAACTGTTCCTACAGGTTGCAGCATTGAAACAAAACTCCGTATAGAAATTGGATTACAGACCTGTGAAAGGAGAATTTATAAGAGGTCTGGGGTCCTCTCTTTTTTCTTATGTCAACATTTCTTTATTAATTTTAGGTGTATGACTTTGAATTCAACAGTGCATTCTGACCCCACAGTAGGTCGACTTTGTGGACCTGG